TGTATATAAGAAATTAACCACTGTATTTATTTGTTTGTAGTTCATTTAATGGTAATGTCAGCAACTCAGGCTAAATAGTATCAAACTATTGGATGGACACGGAAGTGATGATGGCCTACTTCAAGGTACTATCGTGGTGTCTGCCTAGAGGGCCTAGTAAAACAAAAACCTCAATCAGGCCCAGCTGAGATTCGAACTTGGCACCTCCTGAACATCTTTATGAGCACTCTATCTTCAAATATATGCCACTTCTATTCTTCTCTCAAAATAAGAGGCCTCATTTCATACACATCCAAAACCACTAGCAGAATTATTTTGTATATAAGAACTACTTACACAAACAACAAACATAAAATGGAATAATGGCAAGAAGTTCTGGGAAGAACTAATCACCTACTTTCCTTTGACATGACACAGAACTCATAGAAAACAATGCATCCAACAATTCTTCTACTGTTGTATGTGCATTCGTTGCCATGAGAACGTGCTTACCAAGCCACTACCTACAAATGAACCATAACCTAATAACATAGGAACTGTTGACGTGGTGCTTTCTCTGTGGTCCAACCTGAAATTATATGCAGAAGACAACCCCACACTTGGAAGACCTAATTACCGAGCCGTTGCCTAGCAATGGCCATCTCCAAGGCACTTCTCTGACTGCACTACTCTGGTTTCAGGCATCACATCACATAGTATATTTATACAGTATTGGAACAGCTGTCCCTTCTGGCTCAATTATTCCAGCTTTCGGTAGTTAGGGGGTGATACAGAGACATACAGACAGCAAGGTGATCTCACAAGCCTACTTTTTTTTTCAAAATAACAAGAACTCCTGGGAAGAACTTATCGCCTATTTTCCCTTGATACCATATGGACTGCATAATAACCGAAAAAAATCTGGGGAAATACACAGACAGCAATCCTCCTAACCAAAATTCGAGGGGGGCATAATACACAGATAAAAAGACAGCAAGGTTATCCCTGTACTTAATTAACGAAGTAATCCATGTGCTTAATGAAGATACATGGGGGAGTGGATGTATAGCTCCACCATACTTGACCTCAGCGCTAGATGGAAGTGAGTAGTCAGCTTCATACCCTGGCCTCCTCCATTGCCTTTTACTTTTTTCAAAATAAGGAGAGCATGCAAAAAAGAGCAAAAACAGACTAAGCAAAAAATAAACATGGCAAAATAATAATATTTTCTGATAAGAAAGTACTCTATACATGACAACTTTCTCCACTGAGTAACAGAAAACTCTGTGACTTTAGTCTGCAACCGAACTATACTGACCGAGCGACTGCCGCTTGTCAACAAAATTAGTGCCAATTTTAACAGAAAGTACAACTCTTTTATTGACCGTCACAACACGATAAAAGAGTTGTATATTGTAACACAACAGGATGCATGAAATGAAAAAATTTAACAGACAGTGCCACCAAAATCTACTCTTCTCCTAATGTGAAAATAAACCTGCTTTCCATCTATCCGGTTGTTCACAGATAGTCCTGTTTTGAAACATTTTCAAATGGTCTGTTTATTCCATTGATTTCATGTCATGTTCATAGAGTTAGGCTTATCTACATTTACTTCTACACTAGTAGTGCATGCAGTTAGTCGGTCCAAATAGTTTGTTTTTAAGGGAACAGTAAACATGTCAAATTATATTTTTTCACACTGTAACATCTATTTTGTGTAACTAATTTTCTAGAAACTATTATCAGTTCATATATGATCTGTGGACAAAAGCAGGAGCCTCCTCTGAAATACTGGCACCTATCTACCAAACTGTACAGTGGCACAACCCAGAAGACTGTAATCTCATTCCTTATTAACACATTTTCACATGCCTACATTATTTTAGCCTACTTTTTAAAAATACAAAAGTAGGCTTATGAAATCACCTTGCTGCCTGTGTATCACCCTACCATTGCTAGGCAACAGCTTGGTTGATAGGAAATTGCTCAGTATCCCCTTAACCTTGCGAGACAATGGTGCAGTTGCTAGGTAACAGCTTGGCTACCAGATAATGGCTCGGTAAACATGTTCCCATGGCGATGAATACACACACAACAGAATAATGGGTGGACTTGTTTTCTATGTAGTCCATGATGTACAAAAGGAAAGTATACAATTAGTTTTTCCCAGAACTTCTTGCTTTTAATACTGACACCAGAATAATTGAAATTTCCACTAACATTTCGCAGCTAAAAAGCATACTAAATGAGCTGGAAATTACAGAAGTAGGGCCAATACAACAGATGTCTCAATGGAGAATGATGACCATCAGAAGGTGAAATACAACAGAGTCATGTCATTTTTAAATGCAATAGCACAGTACACTTGCAAGGGAGACTGCAAAGAGAGAGATGGGGCCAAGGAGGCTCCACAAGAAGAAAAAACAGGGAATTTAATACGTATCCCTCACCCCAACCACTATCAGAAATGATAATGGTTAAAGGAATGCACAGACTGACTTATTAATGATGACACTTGAATTTTTCAACTGACACACACTCTCATGACAACAAACTGCAAAATTTAAACAAAACCCCAAAACTTGTCATGTTCCTGACGACAGGTTAGTCAAAACCTGGATAATTCCTAGAGCGAACACATCAGTCATTCTCATAACAACAGCCCAACTGAGAACAAAACAATTACCACACCAGACGATGCACCAGTGACAGAAGTCTCTGTCTCTGCCTACTTACTGTGTCACTGAGATCCAAATATTCATACAAGGTAAACAATACTATAGCCTATTTATACCCGTGGTGTCACGTAATATTTCAAAATGTTCAAGCTGTTCTCATGCCCAACAATGGTGAAAACATCCCCACAGTTCAGCAGATACTGAATTACATGGCATCACACCCCAGACAACCATAATCATGTTGCTGTCACTTGTTTCTTTCATGCCACTATATTAACTGTAGTACTGTCTTTCTGTTATACTGCTTGTCACAACTGTGTCACATTGTGCCAAAGCATGCTCAAAAACTTGCAATGTGAGTCTCTACATTTCCACACAGCTAGTGGTTCTGTGCCATTTCTACTGGGGGAAGAATATGCTTAAAGCTCAAAATTATGCCTACAGGCACAACCACAGTCTTGTTCAGTTATATATAGGCAACATAACACCACCTGGTTGTGAGAGACCTGTAGACAATTATGTCTACCCCTTATATTCTGTTGCAGAGAACTGACTTACCTACTGGTACATGTGTATGTTTTGAAGACTTTGTGACAAACCCTATGAGAAACTTAGTATTTAAGCACCACATAACAAGAAATCAGATGTATGAAAATTCTGTTTCAAAGTCAATACACCAGAATGTCATTCCCTCAAAGTCTACCTGAAGTGGTACAGTTAATGTAAATGTCGGCCATACTGTGTTATCAAATGGTGAAGAGAAATCATTCACATGTAATAGATTAAGATATAAACATGTATATTTAACCAACATTATAACCCAGCAACGTCTATCCTATCTCTCAAAAAGTTATGTATGCACAGAATTCATCAGTAAATGAATCAACAATATATTACACCAAAAGTCAAAAGTCAAGGAAAGATAATATTATAATAAAAGCATTAAAAGCAAAAACAAAAATTCTTCTAATATTCATCTTGTCATCTTCTGAATTCAATATTTCATATACAATGCAAGTTACTCTTACATCAGTAACTTCATTTCAATTTATTTAAAGGAGAATATTTCTTTAAAACTGGATCAAAATATAAATCACTGTTTCGTGGCAACTAACTACCTCTCTGGCAGCAGAACCCATTAAAATCAAAGCCTGTCTCTTCACAGTCCTGAACCAATTTCATCCACCTTCCTTACTCACCACCATCTTCCCTAATACCCATCTTAATGTTATCTAACAGTGCAACTGAAATATAAACATGACAATAATTTTCCTATAAATATGAAAAGAAAGAATTTCTGAATTTGTCACAGGTTTGTTTAATGCATGTTTTTGACAACATAACCTGTTTTGGTGTAACGTCTTATTTCAAAATTCCAACATAATGTAAAAATAACTTTCTGAATAGTATGGCACATAAGAATGCTCTCAAGTGCACTTGGTAAGTGTGGTTCATCATTCCAAATTAACACAAACACAACACACAAAAGAACAATTTCAAATGTAACAAAGCATTCAGATTGTTTCACAGCCAACACTTTTGCAGCTGTTAGCAATGAAGAACTCAAACTAACAAGCAAAAACTCCTCCACGGCTATTATTTATAAAGAAGTGAATACTGAACTGCCTTTGTATTATCATCAATTTCCTCCATAAGGAATTTACTGCTTTGTCAAACAACAGCATGACATAATACCCATTCAGCATAAGGATGTAAATAAAACGTGTAACACTGTAGTAGGCTGACACTGCTTTTAACTTTGAACGACATCCACTGTCAATAATTCGTTGTAAAGCCATCTACCTTGTCACTGATAAATTTAGATATGTCAGTGGGGTATCTCATTTCTTACACATATAAAAAACATACAGGATCAAGTACCTTACGCAAACTCATTATTATTCATTTTTCGACTAATGAACCCTTCGGCATAATTTTGCTTTGTTTACATTCACATCTATCATGTTGTCATTTCACGAATAAGCATGGACGGGGTTACTAAACACTGACTAATCTAAATGCCAGGGTTCTAAAGATGACCTTTCATAAACACAACAACATCCATTTCATGTGCTTATAACTTCACAAATGTATCATTACGTTCCATAATAAATATCTAAATATCCCTGCAAACACGCACACAATTATAATGACTTAATCTACAAAGGACTACTTTTGACACGGGAAAAAGCTGTTAACACAATTTCACAAGAAGCCAAATGGGAGGAAAGTCACACACGCGAAATCAACCCACTGAAAATCACAAACAAGAAATATATTATAAACATAACTGACACTCGTAAATTAGAATATATATTGAAGATTCACTTATTCACTTACCAGGTTGTTTATTTGCTATCTTATTGAAACAGTTTTGAAACACTTCGTAAAGATGCAACGGCTCATCATCGCTAGTCGCCATCTTGATTCTCACAGCAAAGCTAACTGTCTCAAAAAAAGATTCAATGCCAACATTCTTCCACCGTAGGTTCATAGGTGGCAGCACAACTCAAAGTCGAGTTAGATATTAGTTAACCAATATTACCGCTATAAGCGCTTGTGTCACATACTGCGTATTCTAATGTCAAAATGTGTCAAAGTGCCGTGTATGGCATTGGTGTTCTTACGTGCTGGATGCTAAAATATTAATAAAACGCAGCATTTCGCTCACAGTATATATTTGTAGGTTACATTTTGTTTTCAGAATAAATAGTAATTTTCTTTCCATTAACACCACATATACGTGTATTTGTTATAGAGCTGGGTCATTTTCTTGTTGAAAAGTACCGGCTCCTAAAATATTATTTACATCAAGTTCACCTCATGAAAGATTATACTGTACTGCCCTTACCCCTATATTGTTCTTTTTCTAATTCTGTTTTCCGTCATATGTAAATAACTCATTACTAAATTACTAACGTGTTCGTAAATTGTTGCAGCAATGGCTTACAGCAGCGAATCCGAACTCTAAATTGTACGACTCAAGAGTCAGAGTCACTTTACGACTGACGGTTTACCTCCAATATTTCGTCTTGGCGACAAGCCCCTTGAGACACACGACCAGCGATTTTTTCAACTGTCCTTATGTAACATCCTTTCTCACGGGAGGTTGGGTCCGTCGTTTACAACTGTTGCTGCCCCTCTCCAGGGCAGTTAGTCTCGGGTCCCAGACCCGCGGTATTCATCACCAGATTTTACTGCCTTAAATTGGAGACTCCCTTCCCCCAAAAAAACAACTATGGGGCCATGTCCCTGTATTCATATCCCCCAGGAACAGGATGACCCAGTTATACTCCCAGGCACTGCGTTCCCTTTTCATCGCCTCCTTCTACTCCCAGGGTTATGATGGAGGTATTCGAATCCTCTTCCACACGGGCTTTGTAGGAGTCATATATGTGTCAGGAGCAAAGCAAATCTGGACGTCTGAGCTCGAAACCACAATCCTTATATTCAAAGTAGAGATGTCGTCTTTCATTCACCGCCCTTCTATGGAATTGGAAAGTATGTTGTTTCGAAAGGGCCCGTCACTGAACATTGTCCTGAACTTGTTGAGTTCAGTCTGTTTCTTCGCAGCCACTTAGGTTCTGAATTAGGCCGCGCCATAGCTCAAGCGGTTAGTCGCTGGCTTCCCACCGCGGCGGCCCGGGTTCGATCCCCGGTCTGGTCAAGTGGGATTTGTGGTGGACAAAGTGGCGCTGGGGCAGGTTTACTCCGAGTACTTCGGTTTCCCCTGCCAATCTTCATTCCACCAATTGCTCCACAATCACCCTCACCTATCATCTGGGGCTGGTACAATAGGCCAGAAGTGGCCGCAGTACAAGGGATTCAGTCCCACCCCACTAGCAATGAAAAAAATAGGTTCTGAATTTCTTGTAAGTAGTCGGATTCATGAAAAATGTGTTTATTGTAAGGTACAAGAAGTTTTGCTGAAACCGTTCACTTTAATTTCTAAAACTTGGACCTTCAAAGATGCTTGGCCGAGCAAGACAGTAATCTCGCAATGAGTTAAAACTCGAGTTGTATTCATTCTTAGCCACGACTCTATTTCCTGAGCATAATACGTTTCGAAAGGCAGCATGAACGAAACGTCGAGAGGCTGCATCTTATGTGTGCAGTGTGGTGGCAAGCACACAATGTGCACAACATTTTCTTCAGTAATATCAAGCAGTTGTATTGTTCCTGCATGAGAAAACTGTTCTTTAGTTGGCGTAGATGGCTGAGGGAACTGTTGGAGACATTGTGTGAAGCTTCTGGCCTATACGCAACATGACTTGGGGCATGCTGCAGTTTTGCCGTGTGTGCTCTCAAGTTAACTCTTGGGTACACAAGAAATGGCCTGCAGCGCTCATGCAGTTGACAGCTGTGACGTGTGAACTTCTTTCGGCGGATGATAATGCTGCAATCTGTCGCTTGCCTCCCAGGGAGACCACGCTACGTGTCCTGGGCTGCACCACAGATAAGCCAGTCTCGGCACTCGCGTATACATGATGTGGAGAGAACTGTATCTTTCAAAGCAAGGGCTCGCAGACATCGAAAACCTCGAGAACATTCCCAGGTGTGAAACATTTGGCTGTCGCAGCAGATTTCGGCCGTGATTTGTGTACACTCAGCTGGGAATGTCGACGCATAAAACTCTGAAGCCACTCCCATCTCGCTCTTTTGTCTCTGCCAGAAAATTGGTGGTAAATGCAATTTTTAATTGCCAGTTGGAATGCCGTTCTCTTGATATTCTTGGTGGTAAGGCCAAAAATTCGTTTTTCCATAATTAGGCACTAAGAAATTAGAGGTAGCGTAGTGGTTAAGGCACTATGCTACAAGTCGAAAGGTCGCGGGTTCAAATACCGGTGAGGCCATTGTATTTCAATTGACCTAATCCTTCCGGCCGCACTATGGCCCTGGGGTCGACTCAGCCTCTAACAGAAATGAGTACCAGGAATTAATTAAATAATTTTCCTGGGGAGTAAAGCGTGGGCGGCGCGTAAGGCTGACAATCTTACCGCCATCTTTGAGCCGATTGTCTAGATAATGTGGGACCCTCAACGTCTCACAACCCTATGGGCCTTCATGGCCTGTTACAGGGATAGCTTTACTTTACTTTTTTTTTACTTACTGACTTTTCCACAATTTTTTAACATTGTTAAATGAAAATGTTCAAGTTAACTCCAGTGGAACCATTTTTACAAAAAGAATACAGTATTGGGAATGCGAAGATAACGTAGTGATACTTGGTATTTTGGGCTTGTCTTATTTTCCGACCATGAAGGTGGACGCAACATGTTCTTGCGAAACGTCGGTTTACTATAAACGGACTACGCTTTAGAAGCACGACAGTGGGAACCTCAAATCCTACGAGTACATGGTGCTGTTGTGGCTTACAGCATATCTATATATCTAGAACTGTGCGCGGAATATCACGTGTACAAATCACTGTTAAAATCAGACGTGACGTATGGATGTGAGGCATAACCCATGGCTGAACGAGATCAATTTGTATTAAATGCGTGGGAGAGAGAATTGTGATACAGTTGTGTCGACCAGGAAGTGAGCAAGGGGTTCTGAGAATCAGAACTAACCATGAACTGAACCCCAGGATACGTCAACAAGTACTGAAAGAAAAGGACGGATTGTAACAGGACGATTTTTTAAACTAAGTCAGAAGTTAGAAGAGAAGTGGGAAGGCCCAGACTGAGATGGCTGAAAGATGCAGAAAATGTTATACGAGAGATGGAAGTGAAGAAATGGAGGCAAAAGGAAGAGAGTAGAGACAATGGGCATCTGTCCTGCAGGAAGTTCTTACAGGACCGTATAACCAAACACGTAAGAAAATACGTTAGCCAAAGTGTGTGGTACGCCTAACTCTTCAATATTTTCTGTATGTTCTCAGTCCCAAATGATATTTCTAACGACATGGTAAAGTTTCACAACGTCACAGATTTTCTGTGTAATTTGTTCTTGCAATGTAAAGTCTCGCTGTGTACACGCACATTTGCATGTAACACAGTAAAAGCATCTGTCTACACGAGAAATCCATTTCGCGGCAATATTTACGAGTATATTCTTATCTACTGGTGTTACAAATATTGATGTATCGATCATATGATTTGGGTAAAACTACGTTGCAACGAATCCCGCCAGTACACGGAAATAACTAGTCTCTTCCTGTGGTCCTTGGAATGGGGCATATTTCATAGTTGGCCTTGAAATTGGGGTAACATCAAGTGAGAATATTCGCATCGTCAACAGCTTCGTCATCACAATCAGGTTCATTTGCCCACGAAACTTCGTCCAGCTGGCCTCTTCTGGTAATCCTACTGTCCAACACACTTTACACATACTGGTGTTGATGCTGATGTCTTTTTTGTGTGCATCAGTGGTTCTTAATAATTTTAGACTATTTTATTTATAACGAAAGATAAACTCGTGTCATCATTGCGTCCAGTTGTGTCTCCTTTTCATACGTCCAGCTGTTCGTTCGCATGTCTGTCCTCAGTCAGAAATCTGAAACAGTAAACAGACTTTCATGAAAGTTGATGCTATCATATGCCACTAGAAACCGCCCGATCTTCGTATATTTCAGTTTCCTGTGATTTGCATTACCAAGACAGCCGACGTACCAACGTATGAAGTGGATGAGCGAAATAACGTTGGATCTCGAAATTTTGTGTGGTTACAGTAGTTTCGCAAATATTCAGCTTTCATTCACGTCACATTTTTATATAATATAAAATAATATGGCACACTGTGAATGGCAGCTTATATTTAACTCCCTATTTAACAACGATAATTATTTAAGCATTGGAGATAAGTTTGTAGAATTCTGCATGAAGGTATGTCATAAACATGCCTGTCATTTTAGCAAATACTTTAACACGAATATGAGTAACGAGGGCACAAAAACTAAAAATTATTTCTGAAAACTTAGACGCTACAGGCGCTGCGACGGCGCCAATCTTGTGCGTTACGCGTTGAAGAGATGCTCAGTTCGAATCAGTGCATATGAAAACCGTTGGTAGAAATGAATCGCTGAAGAACTTCATATGACTATTAATTTAGAGACCTTGCTATTCTCGCCTTATCTTGAAGAATCTAAGCGGAAGTAGGTTTGTTTCCCAGAACATCCGTTCTGCCACTAGAACTATTCGTTAAAGAGAAACAATGGTCAGAAATTAGCGATCATCTCCCTTACAGCATGGACATACCAAAATTTAAATTTTATTTTCGATGAGACAAATCAGTATTTTCAGTTCGCCTCTTGCCTCTGCACGATATATCGGTCCTGGGGCGACACCTTTCCTGATTCTGTGCGACAAATGTTCAGAATTCTGGAACAGAACAAGATAAAGCCATACCAGCAGGGAGGTACTGAGGTATGAAACAATACCATGTAATCTGACATTCATACATCTCTCGCTGTTTGTGCACACATCAACGAGCCTTTCATCTGTCGAAACTCGATTTTAGGACAAACAAATATCTTGGCGGGTTCCGCGCAAGAAAATTTCTGAACAGATACGAGTATACTGTTCCTTTATAAATGCTTCCTATCACTTTAGTATGATTCTCATATCTTCATCTCTCATCACATTTAAAGTTCCCAAAAAGGGGATCAAAACCGTTCCGATCTTGTGTGAATTTCTTATTCAGTCTCTATAATATGAAAAATGTACATCAGTATGTTAGCTTTTGTCATGATACAGTATAATATTCCTTCAGTTACATAGAACCTCCTACATCATAACTGTATGTAGCTTCACGTTGGTGCAATGATGAAGTCTTCAAACTTGGGGCGAAGAGGGTGTTATCTCTTGCTCCTATTACACCTACTGTCAACAATGTTATCGAATCAGCTACTAAAGAAAAAATACTAGCATGAAACCAGTTGAATATCAACGAGAAATTTTCAAAAATAAACCTAACCTCAATTCCATGAAAAGTTCTGAAGGCATATGCTGAGGCAATAAAATTGACAGAATAAAAAATATGGACTGGGCGGTGATGCTGGCTTTCCATTCTCTTACTTCCACCAGTCTTTCCCTAGACTTTTAATTTTTTGTGGCGGTACGCAACAGTACGTAGCGTCGAAATCTTGCCCTTTCTGTTGTTAAGAGCTGATTTAGTAACGTTATTGAGCGCGATCTGCATGTCAGATACTTTTAGTATGTATCACAGCGTGCAATAGGAAAGTAACATAAAAGTGGGGCCGCGTCATAGCTCAAGCGGTTAGTCGCTGGATTCCCACCGCGGCGGCCCCGGTTCGATCCCGGGTCTGGTCATGTGGGATTTGTGGTGGATAAAGTGGCGCTGGGGTAGGTTTTCTCCGAGTACTTCGATTTCCCCTGCCAATCTTCATTCCACCAATTGCTCCACAATCACCCTCACCTATCGTCTCAGGCTAGTACAATAGGCCAGAAGTGGCCGCAGTATAAGGGACTTAGTCCCACCCCACTAGCAATAAAAAACATAAAAGTGGAGCTAAAGTCGTATATTTTGCTTCGCGAGAACTGCCAGATTACTCCAGAAAGAAGCACTGGTTTCGTCGAATGCGTATAAATAACTGTACATCTCCTGTTTTGTTTACAGGATATGCAATTATATGTCAAATACGTGAATTCAAATTGAAAAAGAAAAGAAAATTGCCAGAAAACTTTCCAAGGAAACACATTACTCTTCAAAATGCTGTAATCTGCTCATTCAACTCTACATGCTCATTTTTACTACTTCTCTTCTTGTGATGATTCTTATGTTAAACAAGAGAGAATAGCAAAATATTGCCACAGTATTAATGTACGTACATGGACAATTTAAAAGGTAAAAGGTAAAGATGTCCCTGTGCTTAACTAGTTAAGCACTACACCATGAAGGGGTATGGGGGAGTGGATTTTCTTGGCCTCGGCACTAGCTGGAGGTGAGTGGTCAGCTTCACGTTCCCGCCACTTTACTCATGGGGAAAGAGCCCCTGATACCCACTGGATAGGAGGTTGGGTGAATCCCAGAGCCTTTATGGACAAGTTGGAGAAGAGAAAATTCTTGAGATTACAGGGACTCAAACTCCGACACCTCGGTCGTCGTCCAGCCCGTAGCCAGTCTCTATACCGACTGTGCTATCCCGGCTGCACATGAACAATTTAGAATTGCGAAAATGGAGTAAGATCCGTTAATGTAAATAGATATTGCAAATATCTGCAACCCCCCCCCACATATATTTATTTCCCCTCAGGCAAGCCGGCAACCATATTTTCCAAGTTCTGTTTTTGCATGATCTTACAACTATAAATTGTACATAAAGTGGCATAACTTTCAGATACAGCCGTTTGTTTATGCAATAATAAGACACAAAATGTATGTTTTCTTTGACAACTGGAGCATTATTAATTCGTTTTGTTTAAAAAATCAGATTTTCACGTAAAAGAAACATCAGTATTCGATCTTTTGAGAATGTGTCAGGCGGAGAAATGGAATACGATTTTCGAGCCATTGATTTTCCATTAATGGGCACGAGATCTCCTGAAATAGTAACGATGTTTTGCAGACTGTTAAAGAAATCACAAGGGAGTTTCAAGTGCATTATTTACATGTTTTGAAGGTAAGGCGCCCACTCAATGGGTAGGCACCACAGCCTGCTGGATGTGAGTTCCTCAGTTCGGCATGATGTGCTCCACCTATCCCATCTGCTCCGGTGTTGGCAATGACTCCAACAGTGGACCGGGTGCTACCAACACAAGCGACAGCAATATCCCCGGCATATTCGACTTGGATGTGGGGGACACCAATTGGGTCATAACATCATCGTTCATCATCTTCACCATGCAGACAGGTGAAACGCTACGCGCTGCGTGACGTTGAGTAGTGCTTCAGCAACCGACAGTACGTTGCAATATTCTGGAGAAGTGCAAATCTCTACTCACTGTTTCACCCTTCAGAATCTCATGCCAGGTTGACCTTTGATCCATTCTTTGGCCGCGCCGTAGCTCAGGTGGTTATTCTCCGGTTTCTTATCGTGTCAACCCTAGTTCGATTCCAGGTCAGTTTATATGGTTCTCCAAGTACTTCCGTTTCTCGTGCCCTACTTTTGTTAATCCAGAGTCGAGTTATGAAATGGATTTATGGATTGAAATGCGGAAGAGCAGGGCTATTGGGATGTGACCAGTAGCAACTATATTTTGTGTATCTTTTAATATTTGTTTTAAAAAAAATTAAATCTTACTTCAGATATTTCATTATTGTAACTTTCCAAAAGAGAGACCTGTGTAAAAGTAAGGAAAAGTAAAGATGTACCTGTAACAGGCCGTGAAGGCCCATAAGTGTGTGACAGGTGGAGGCTCACACATTTACGCAATCGGCTCAAACATAACGGTGAGGTTGTCAGCCCTATGCGACGGCCGAAATTTACCCCCCAGGAATCTTCCTGGTACTCATTTCTGTTAGAGGCTGAGTTGAACCCAGGCCCATAGTGCGGCTAGAAATATTAGGTAGATAGAAAAAAAAAACATTGACTTCATTGGGAATCGAACCCGCAACCTTTCGGCTTGTAGCATAGTGCCTCAACCAACTATGCTACCGTGCGCATGTTGCAGGTTTCGGGATGCTGGAGTCCGGGTGCGTCTCCATTAAGAACGAGGTGAACATCATGATGAAGAACGTAGCGGATGTGGTGCTGGGTGGACTCACCTACTGGATGTTCGGGTTTGCCCTCAGCTTTGGGAATGGACCCTGCACAACGCCATTTATGGGCTGTGGCAACTTCTTCGTGGACCCAACCGTCAAGGATCCTCTCATGGGCCCCATGAATGCCGCTTTCTTGTTTCAGTTGTCCTTCGCCACCACCGCCACGACAATCGTCTCGGGGGCCATGGCTGAAAGGTCCGTTCCTGCAAGCATGTGCTTCTTACTGACTTTTGCTCTAACAAGGAGCATACAAGGTGATCTGAGAGCCAGTATGCAAGTACGAGAAGGACATGGATGCGGTTGCGATTAATCGTAACACAAATCATATAGTTTTGTAGCATGAGTATTTCCTCTAGTTTCGTAAGTAAAAAGTTCCATATATGATCAGCCATTTTGAATCGTCTCCTTGTTGCATAACAAAATCCCACAGAAGATGCGATCATATTGCGCAAACTTCATCTAGTGAGTGATCTTCGAAGCGTTAATTTCAGAGAAGCAGCGTGTTTAGCAGTCCTTCTTCTTGAACTTAAGCTTCAATTCCCTTTTAAATTAGTCCGAATGTAATGTCACGGTTTTAGTGACTATAGACAGGGTTTGCATCGGTAATTAGATTTACCGAACTCTTGCAGGAAGTAACTACAAGCAAGGATTATGCTCTCACTGTTCTACACACGTCACAAATCACTCACTCTGTTACAGTCATCATTAACCTTTGCTTGGTAGCGGCTTCAACGGCGGATATTCACCTTCCTCCGGGTTCCCGAACTGATCCCGGCCTCAGCTACCAGATTCTCACAGCAACAGACCACAACGACTGAAGCCCAGCGGTTATATTAACTAACTGCAGCAAAAAGTCAAAATTATGTTACGACCGAAGGTCAGTCGGCCAGTCAAGAACCCATATAGGGCCCAAGACCAGATTTTTATTAGACAGACGGTTGCGTGTTTGTTGATGTGGGGCGTCCTCTCTGACTAGAGGACGGCTCTGCCGTTTAAAATTCCTGCTAGCCCTCGCCAGCGCAGTCATTCTTAAATCAGAGTCCAGCGCGACTCATGACCATATTTTACTGTCTCAGTTTCGAGAATCCCCCAACCTGGAGGGCCAGGTACCCGTATTTATATCCCACAGGAACAGGGTGGCCCAGTTGTATCCCCAGGTACTGGGTTCCCTTTTCGTCGTCTCCTATGACTCGCAGGGCTATAGTGGAGGTATTCGAACCCGCCACCACATGGTCTAATTGCGACAAAATTGATGTCAAAGTCAAAATTACTTTACGACTGGCGGTTTACCGCCAATCACTTCGTCTCGGCGCCAAGCCCCTTGAGGATCACGATCAGAGATTTTTTCAACTGAACGCTTGCGGTCATGGCCCTTACGTAACATCCTCTCTGACAAGATGATGGGTTTGCCTCTTATGAATATGCTTGGCCTTTCCCAAGTGTACGTATCGCACTTACAGCGTGTTATTGAACATTCTTGCTTTTGCACTACATACAAATCGTCTGTTAGTCTAGACTTTGCAAAGCATGACGTATTCCATTGTTGCTTGCGCAGCCATCGGCACGAACTGAGCAGAAAACACTATTCCTCTGTTGTTGTTGTTTACGTGCCACTGCCTAGTAATGTCCGGCTGTTGTCTCAGGAATTCTTGCTTTGAGCGACTTCTCGCATACCGCAAAAATGTACTTTCTTTCGTACCATATCTCGGTCCACAGTCTGTTCAGTTTCCTCCAATGTAACCACTGTCACTTTCCAAGTTTCCGTTTCTATATCAATCCCCTCCAGGACTATGTTAGTAGATACTGGAACCATCGCAACGGGGGGCAAGGCTGAAAATGTGCAAACAGCACTATTGACGGCACAACGCTTCATGTTACGCTAAAACTATCAAACGTACTTTGTGTGCAACGCTTGCACAGCACGTCAATTAACTCCATTAATTACCAAAATGACAGCACAGCACAGCACCGGATGTTGTGCAAATGGCAGATTGTGTACAGGGTCCTCAGTGTGTTGGTTGGGTTGCCTGCAGGTGCAACTTCAAGGCGTACTGTATCTTCTCGTTCCTCAACACGGTTGTGTACTGTATACCGGCGGGCTGGGCATGGGGAGACCACGGCTTCCTGAACAGGTTGGGTTATGTGGACATCGCGGGTTCGGGGCCCGTGCATCTCATAGGAGGCAGTTCTGGTGAGTTCTTTGCTTTCGTGCCAGGTTATCTACTTTCAGATATGAAAGGTTGCAATAACATAACTTGTTGAGCACAGGCGTCCTTAATTGCACCAAAGGACGCTCTAATTAACCAGAAATTTTTGGACTCAAAACGATATTACTAAGCAATCCATGGGGATGTGTCTGTATTTTGATGAGGAAATTCAATCATTTATGTTTTATAGTGACTTCTTATGTGAAAACCAGTCTTTCTTACTTGTCAATGGCAACACATATATACATACAAAAGTGCCAGGAGATGGCAGGGTAAGTTTATAGGGCACTCACTCATGGAGCTGACCCCTTCTTGAGAAGCGGCCAATTTCCCAGCATTTTATGGAACCCGAAGGATCATCACCGTGTTCACAAGAGCTCTCCATTGGTCCCTATCCCGAGTCAGATCAATCCAATCCATACCATCCTATCTTTCTAAGATCCATTTTAATATTGTTCACACACCTACGCCTTGGTCTTCCCAGTCGTCTCTGTCCTTCTGGTTTTCTCAATACCCTGTATATCGCCTCTATTTTCAGGGTATAAAATTCCACAAGCCAGGAACCAGAGTGAGCACGTGGCTACAGGCTGAGCTCAGTTTGTAGCCAGCTGCTCACGCTGGTTTCTCGCTCGCGGATTTTTATACCCTGAAAATGGAGGCGATACGTTCTTCCGAAACATCTATTCATATAACATCTACATGGCGCCACATCCCAGAAGACGGTATTCTTCAAGATAAGATGTATTTTCCAATCTAATGGCTTTGGAAATTAAAACTGTACTACGAAACAGATCTACTCTGCAAAGAGCACTGAACGTGTGCGTTGTGTCCACAGCACTAGCGTCTGCGATGATGCTGGGCCCACGGTTGGGTCGGTACGACATGGGGAATGAACCACTGCCCCTTGGCTCCCCTGTGAACGCTGTCATGGGTCTCTTTGTGCTGTGGTGGGGATGGCTCGCTTTCAACTCTGGCAGGTACGAGTATGGTCTCAACCTCATACACATTCTCCAACATATCCTACATGCTCCAATATAATATGTCTAGAATCTGTTAAGTAGGTTTACATTTTGTACAGTAAAACTCATGTATGTGAGCAGATTTTAATTTAACCTATTCGACATTACATTTTGTCACAGCAGGACGTAGTAAATTGTGTGTTTACTGTTGCACCCAGCTTTCTGAAATGTAATATCTAAAAGGTTCCCACCTCACCGCCATCTGTGTGCCGATTGTCTAGAAAACGTAGAGGCCTCGATGTCTCGCAATCCTATGGGCCTCCACAGCCTGTTACAGGGATAGCTTTAATATTTATTTCTACCCACCAGAATGAACCATGGGCATAAGACGAGAAAGAATGAAAAGGAAAAGAGGATTACCCGGCTTCAAAGCGTCATGATACCTAATTAAGTACCACACCATGAAGTCACATGGAGGAGCGGAGGTGTAGCTCCACGTATTCTTATCTTTGACATTAGATGGAGATGACTGCTTATTATTATTATTGGAGGGGGTGGGTTTCACCATGCATCGCGACTAGTAGTCCATTGTGCGTCCCCCTTTGATATTCTACCAGTCGCCAGTGCTCGCTATCAGCCCCGTCCTGCCAGCGAGGTCGGCCACCTCTCTGGCAGTGGTCCCCGATACTTCCCCATCTACCGGAGGAATTGGAAACTACTTGGGCGGGAAATTTTGCGTAATTTTGCTCAGAGGTCTCCTAGAGACATGAGGATCTTTTACTTGCCGTAAATCTACGACACGGGACACACAGCTTAAAGTCCCTCGCGGAGGACTTGTTCCCTGAATTTTTCCGCCCTTAAAAATTCCATGACCTCCGCCGGGTTTGAACCCGCGTACATTGAGTCATGAGGTGGGAACGTTACCCCTAGACTACGGAGACGCTGAGATGAGTGCTTAGAGTCATGCGCCCGCTACCCACTGGCGTCAAGGCTGAGTGAATCCTACAGTCGGTTTGGATGATGAGAACAAAGGTGTCTGCTTGCGACGAGAAACGAAGTTCAGTCGAGTCTGTAGCCTGATCACTAGACGGCAAAAGGACTGAATTTGGATAAAGACGGCATTAAGCAAATCCTTCAAAGGGGTAAAAGTGCCATAAAATTAGTTTGTAGGCCAAACTCTACAATTTCCTTAGCAATCTTCAAGAGGCAGCGGTCTTCATAAGAAGCTATTACAATATTTGTAATGCTTCAATCAGCTACTGAAGAAATTCCCCGCATTTTGTGGGAGCCGAATATTTACGTATATACAACGCTACTTTTCTAAAAACATGTTTCCTGATACACTCATTCTCGGTTTTAGTTTCAAGGAAGAAATGTACCATGTACCGGCATACATGCGACGTTGGCAAACCCGCAGACACACATCAACTGCTTGCAGGCACGTATTGCGGCTGAAAAAGTGTTTCGTCTGTTTACCGGTAGATGCCGTGCTTTGGTTGCAGCACCTATGGAGTCAGCGGAGCCAAGTGGCACTACGCAGCCCGCGCAGCCGTTCAGACAATGATGGGCTCATTTGGGGGCGGGTGCGTTGGGTTGGGTTACTCCATGTTCCTGCGAGAAGGACGACTGGACATCATGGACCTCATCAACAGTATTCTGGGCTCTCTTGTCTCGATCACAGGTATATGAGAAGCAGCTGTAGGTACAGGCTTTCTGTTGGGCCAATCAGCGCCAACATTTCTCATGCATTCAGTGTTTCACAGCTGTCAAAAGGGCCTAAGCCATGACAGCCGAAGCTACTGAAGAAAAAGAAATAAGAAATATATGGTAGGGGGGGCGGTGGGGAAAGCCACCTCCTACTCCTATCCACTTCCCTTGCACGTCCAATCTCTGCTGGGAATTGTCCCAATAAAAAGGAATAATGCAAATGAATCAGTAAACACAAATGCCAGAGGGTAAGGACTTCTCGATCAACAAAAATGATCGAAACATACCTCAGATGCGAGCGCAGATTATGATGAAAACCAAATTTGAAACTCAGCAGTTGAACAGCGTCTGTAAAGCATCATTCATCTACCGGGCCCAAGAGAGCTTACCCCCACCAGCCACCCCAGCCAACAAGGCACTGCACGTTACACATTAATGTCTGCGATTTGTATCATAAAGGCCTTTTAATGTGAATATTGAACGAAAGTAGGGACAATAATATCTGACCCTGTGCAGAGTGATGTTACACATTCTTCTCATTATAGTACATAAGGAAGACATCGATATAAAGGCGAGTTCTGTGATGTTGGCAGCGGGGTGTTTCCTGTACCGGTCGTGGGAGGCACTGCTCATCGGAACAGTAGGCGCGATCATTGCTTGCATCTCCATGCCCCTCATAGACAAGATGAGAATCGACGATCCTGTTGGAGCATCGTCTGTACATGGTAATGACATTTCGGTTTCGATTAACGCCCTAAATTGCCCATAACACCCAAAGAGTACGTCTGAATGCCCATCCAGCCCATGGTCCCTCCCCGTTTTTGCAGTCCCGATTAACCACGATGCTATAAAACCTCAGCCGTTGATGGAGAATTATAAAATTTCTAAGAAATCAGCCTTCTTGCAGTTAGTTTGTTATTGAAATCATGCTGCCGGGACGAAATAGGCATTGCAAAGAAAATCAAGTGGGCACATTTCGGTTGTGTCAATTTTGAGAAGATGAATGTATGATGCTGCTTTCACACGGTCAACTTGTTAGGTTTACTGGCTTGCATAAAGACCTACACGGCCGTCGGGATAGCACAGTGGAGTGATTAAAATTAGAAGTTCGATTTCCAGCAGCGCCGTCTTCTCCACAGCATTAAGGCTGGCATCGGAGCCGATTCACACATCATCCTGTCCAATCGGCAGTCAGTGAACCGGGGCTTAAATTTGGCGATTCACCTTCCTCGTGAGCAGAGGTGAAGAATGCATGGAGCTGTGCTTCCAGTCCCCCATCTATCTTCACGGTCTGGAGCTTTATTAAGCAGAGAGAACTTTCATAGAAGCCAACTTGGATGGGCAAGTCTGGCATAAAAGGAGTCAGACAAAATATTATTAAAATAATTCTTACGGAAATTTTATTTTGCTACCCCACAGAATAAAAAATTTATGGTGGGCCATAAAAGTATTCTGAAGCAGCCTAAATATAAGTAAATTTTGACCCTTCACCCACCACAGAGAAGCAGCTTGGTAGGCCTTTTTGACAGGTGTAAATATGATCTACTCCTGGCAGTTTCATTTGAAGCCACTGGGAGCAAACAAAATCTCTGTCTACTGGCTGCAATTTTCATTTAGTTTTGCAAGTCCTTTCACACTCCTGTCATTTTCGGTAGTCAAAATGGGCGATTTCCTTGATATGAAGCAATTAACAAAATCTATAGTGATCAACTTTTCGAATATACAGTCTTTCTGTGAAAAAGAATCGTTAGAAGGAATTGTGCATGCTGCTCATGGATGATTTCTATGAACTGCCACAGAAAATATTAAATGAAACACGTAATATATTTCCATTTTTTATCCGCTTTCCTTTCTTAAGGGTAGCCTCATTACAGTCATGCCTTCCTTTCAACTTCTGAACCAGTTGATCGATTTTCACATAACTTGGTATGGCACTATATCACGCTTTTCCACTTCTACAATCAGTAACGATACGGCGGCCATGAGAAATTTTGCTGTGAGAGTGACACATGCACCGATTAATGCGTGGTAGTTCCTTTGTCAGTTATTTAAGAATACTCAGTGTTTAGACTATACACTATAGCATCAAATGGGAGGGTAACTGATGAAGTGGAAAGAATATGAAAGGAAGCGACTGTGACCTCCTGACATTTGCCTAGTGGGAATGAGGTAACCACAGAAACCTCAGGCAGCATGGCCCGTGTTCTGGCCGAGATCTGAACTCAGCACATACCGAACATGAGTCCAGAAAGTTACCGCTACGCCAATTTGCTCCGTAGGTGTGGTAATAAGTCTTCGTTTGAAGCATGTACAGCTACATATAAACTATAAAAGTAAAAAGGGTAAACTTTTCCCTGTGCTTACCTAAATAAGCGATATGCCATGAAGGCGTATGGGGGAGTGAAGTTATAAATATAGGTTTTCTTGACCTGGCAGTAGTTGGAGGTGAGTAGTCAGCTTCACGCCCCGGGCTGCTTTACCCCCGGTACCCATTGGATAGGAGGCTGGATGGGCCCCGGAGTCGGTCTAGATCCTGTGGAGAACAGAACATTTTTTACCACACTGGGTCGAACTCCAACCCCTTGGTCATCTAGCCCGTAGCCAGTCGCTATATTGACTGAGCCATCCCGGCTCTAAATAAATAAACTATAGACGTATTATTTTTTTAAACTCTAATTTCACGATTTTAGAGAGATGGAATGGGATGGTATAGATTGGATTGATCTGGCTCAGGGTAGGGACAAGTGGAGGGTTCTTGTGACCCTTCGGATTTCATAAAATGTTGGGAAGTTCTTCAGTAGCTGCGCAATTGGCAGCTTCTCAAGGACTCAGCTCCATAATTTCAGGATCATTTGAGGCATGGATGACAATCTGGCATCAGAACACCACACTAAAAACAGGTTTCCAATCCAAAGGCACCCAGTCGGTCAACTAAGTATAAAGGCAGAAACCCATTACTATTTAAGCAGCAATGGAAAATATTTATATAACTAAGCATACAATAAGGCCACACCCTAGCTCAAGCGGTTAGTAGCTGGTTTCCCACCGCGGGGGCCCGGGTTCGATCCCGGGTCTGGTCAAGTGGGATTTGTGGTGGACAAAGTGGCTCTGGGGGGTTTTCTCTGAGTACTTCGGTTTCCCTTGCCAATCTTCATTCCACCAAATTCTCCATCATCATAATGACCCGGGGCAGGCTACAATAGGCTAATCAGTGGCCTCCGTGCCGAGTGGACCCAGTTGGACTCCACCCCACTAAGTGAATTTAAAAAAAAAAAGCATACAATAAATAACCCATAAATATAAACTAACAGTCCGAAATTCATGTAAATACAGTATTTAAGAATTCAGTTTCTACCTGTATCACACAGAGAACGCAATGTCTGCATTACAACGGCCAATTGGTTAATGCTGTTGGGAAATAATTGGTTTATTTTAAGAAACATGTCAGATCCATAAATGAATTATTTGGGCACAATGCAATTTTTTAATATTAAAGCTGGTGGTACATATTTTGTATAGTAACCTTTGTGCTTCAGAGGAATGGTTCCTGAACTCCTTCAACCTTAGGCTCCCTTTATGTGAACAGAAATTTTGAGCCCCCCTCCATCCCATTAAAATATGAATCAATGTCAATAAGTAATTGGTTAACACAATGATTTCATAAATATTTATTCTATTAAACTGTTTGTTTGCTATTTAATGTGGGCTTATTAATTTATATGTATTACAATTACATTCCAGGAAAAGCGTCATGGCCCCCTGGGGAGACTGTTACTACAACTCTAGGAAACGTTGCTTTATACGGTTCTCAATTTTTGGTTGCTTGTTATTTCAATCACTAGTCTGTATGGTGACTGGTTGAACAGCCGGCGTTTGATTCCTGGCGAGGACAAGGTTTTTCTTTTCTCCACAGCATCCACATCGGTTCTTGAGCCTCCTACAAAATGGTTACNGCGGGGGGGGGGGGGGTTCTGGGGTAAAGCTGCCAAGGACATGATGCCGACCATTGACCTCCATCTAGTGTCAAGGTCAAGGATGCTGGAGCTATACTTCCATTCCCCCATATGTCTTCATGGTACAGTCCTTACTGAGTTAAACACAGGGGTAGCTCTACCTCTTTATGCTATCATGTAATACCTTTAATAAATACAACAAAAGTTTACTTGGTCCATGCAAATACATATAACTGTAGTGTATTTCTTCTGTCTATTACCAGTTACCAGTTCTCAGATATGAAATTAAAATTAAGCATCAGAAATGACAGAAGAGGAAAAATTACTGAATATATCTTTTGACACACTGACCACATCTGGTGATATTCAAAAGTAATAAAGAATTTTCCATAATCTTCTTGCTGTTCATAAATTAATGTATAAAATGCACTGGTACTTACTCAGGACTGAATAGCCTTCTTTTCCCTTTTCTCCTTTGATTCTTTTCCAAACAGCAAGTACGTTTTCTGGTTCAACCACAATCAATGATCCTGGAACATAAACTTCGTCCTGTTGGATAACTTAGATGGTGGACTGAAGTGGTGTTGCTTCATGTTGTCAATTCTTCCACCCATGTGAAACGCCATGGAAAACAGGCTGACCGTGTGACAGCATGTGTGCACTGTGACATCACACATACAGTGGTAGGCTACTACAAACAGCACCACAAACACATTTCACCATGGAAAATTATATAATCAGATCCCCCTGCATTAGGCCATGTTCTGCCTATTATTAGCCAGACAAAATACTTTTCTCTGTGTTCCATTATTATATATAGCAGGCATGTACAACGCATCGATCGCGATCAACTGGTCGATTGCGGGACGATTTTTGGTCGATCTCATAGGACTATAAAGAAATTATAAGTGAAAGCATAAAACATGATTATATTCAGATTTTGAAGGGAAAATACATATTAAAGTATTGAAGTACTTCCATTTTATGTTGCTTTTACAACAAACAACATGTGTCATGTTATTTTTACCAATATTTTTGCTTAAAGCGAGGTACGATGATAGGAGGGGGTGGTAGATCACTGGCAGTTTTGATACTAAAAAGTCAATCACAACCTGTTTGAAGTTGGGCATGCCTGATATATAGTATAGTATAGTATATATATATAGTATTGAGATGTTAAGTTTCATAACTATTATCAACAGTATTTCTCTTTTCTGATTGAATCATGCTATGGATGAAATGACAAACAGAGAGACTTATGGTGTTCAGTAATAAGAGTTATAACCCTAAGACCAGACAACATACCCAGTCACTTCTTCAGGAACTGTTTTGAGTTTTGTTTGTCAGCCATTACTTTGCTACAAGACCATATTTTCATAGGTGCAGCAGCAGTCTGGGGTGTCATTGCAGTAGGGCTGTTTGCAGATAATCCAGAGCCACTTGACACCACAAGTGGGCGCAGTGGACTCTTCAAAGGTAAAAGTCTATCATGGATCATTGGCCAAATCTGCTTCCATGAACATAGTTCCATTTGGCAGTTTCGCTCAGTGGGGTCCGCTCGGCATGTCGGCCACTGATTGGCCTATTGTAGCCTGCCCTGGATCATTATGATGATGGAGAATTTGGTGGAATGAAGATGGGCAGGGGAAACCGAAGTACTCTGAGGAAACCTGCCCCAGCGCCACTTTGTCCACCAGAAATCCCACTTGACCAGACTCGGGATCGAACCAGGGCCACCGCAGTGGGAAGCCAGTGACTAACCGCTTGAGCTATGGCGCGGCCAATTGGCAGTTTATGGTAGCATATGGCTATTTCCAAATTTTCCCATTCAGAAAGCCAACACTACCTGAAACTTCACATTAAAATAAAGTATTTAGTTACACATATCTCCATCTCTGCAGTCTACTCGCCCCCAAGGGAAATGTGTATATATATATATGCATGCCAACATAAACTCATGTATGCACATAATTAGACAGTGGTTATACACAATTAAACAGAATTAATGTTGTAAGCGTTCTATATTCTCTTGAAAGAATTATATATTAATTCCTACAATCCTCTACTTTATACTCAATGATAATCATATAAAAGGAAGTTTCGAAGGTCCTCCAAAATGATAAAAAATCTATATTTTGTAATATCTCTAATAAATCTCAGTAAGCTTAATACTGGCAGGCATTATGCTGTCCTTCAGGAGTATGCTGTAGTATACAGACATAATATTATAATTTGAATAAAATCAGTTAAAATCAATAAAAGTATCAATGGTTTAACAAATAAAATAATTAAATGAATCAAACAATTTAATTTTTTTTATGAATTCTAATAGATCTTATTAAGATTTAATCTTCTCGTTGTGTCAACAGCTCCAGTTAGTATGCAACCATACCTAGCATCTTATATTGTAAAAAGTGGTTTATATCCACTGCTATTCTGTTACTTTTCTGTTCTTTTGATGCTTCAGTTTTACTGGAGCATCATGATCTGTTTAAGTGGAATAACATTCCTGAATATGTGGAGATAATGAAGATATTACAAAAAGTTTTTCAACGCTTCTAACAAAGTTAATGTCAATGGAATTTATTCAAGACATAATGCTATTTTTATTCATAAAATACAATATAAAACTTAAAGAGTTGATGAAAGTCAGAAATTTGTTTGAAACTTTTTATATAAAATCCAACTTCCCCACAATTAGTATGTTTAAGCAGTTTGAGAAACACGCTGCAGCACATGTGGGAGAAAAGATACTAAGATAAATTACAACAAACTATTAACAACACTCACAATTTTCAACCATAGCACTAAGCATTATACTTTTCATTAGATCTTTAAGATGCATAACTGTATTATATCATTATCCATCCAAGTGTCCAGAGTTGGATTCCAGCAGTTCTACCTAAAGCTAACGCTGAAATCGGGAACTTCAAGATATCCATTTCAAGAAATATAGACAATCAGACTCTTCGTACAAATCAAAAGAGTCCTTCCATAAATATAGTGGAGTGATGGCGACTCATTACGAGTGGAATGTCCTTTGCTTACTCCTGGACCACCCAGCCTTTCCTTTTCTTTAAGGAAATATTATTTTATAAGAAAAAACATATATTTGTCATGATGATATTTAACACATTTGAAGACTTCACAGTTATTCTATAATGAACATTACTCAGTTTAATCCAACAAAATAATCGACATTATAGAATACGTATGTTACTCACAACAAAAGCATGCCCACTCAAATGTTCAATTCATTGTCATTATACTAGCATACTGCCATTGTTAAGTCAATCAAAACTAAGATTTAAACAATTAAAATGTTCACCTTTACTCAGAGCACTCATTTTCTCATTATAAACTAACAAAGATTGGTAATGGCAAACTATAGCTATTTAGATTTGAGGCTTTCACTTCTTTTCCCACTCTCTTTAAGAACAGAAAAACAACAAAGCAGAATGATGGAAACAGGACATGGAATCACATCTGGGATGGTATCAGCACAACTTATGTCCCCACATTGCTCTCCTTCAGGACAGTCATTTTAATCTTAATTTATTTTTCTGATACTCTTATCACATATTATTTGTTCCTTATAAAATGTTAATCTGCGAGATATTGAACTGCTGTATGTTTAGGTACGATACTATGTGGAAAACGCTAAGAACCACTGCTCTAACCAACAGGTGGAGGCTGGTACATGGTGGGCGTACAGACCTTAGGAGCATTTTGCCTCACTACCTGGGGCATATTGAGCACTTGCATCATACTTTGGGTGAGTCACCAAATATGGATTATGGTCTGACAAATTTTAGGTAACAGAATTTCTTACTGCAAAACCATTTGAACCGTATCTGCTTAGATGATGCTGGAAGCACTAGACATCTAGAACCCTCTAATCAGACAGCACTTGTGAGATTTGAGGTTCTCATGGCATGACTATGAACAGTAAGTATTCTCTCTCAGGAAATGTCACCTCATAGTCTGGTATAATTTTACTGATGTTTCTCTGAAACATCATTAATCTTCTACGAGACTTCACAATGTCACATCCTAAAAGACAGTACTCCTAAACCAGCATGTATCCAAGTTCATTTGCAAGATTACTTAAAGACACTTTCTTAGCTGCTTAAATTATAGAGCAACGAATGCTTGGATGTAAAAGTGAGTGTTGCCTAATTTGAGGTTCAATCCCCACAATTTCTTGCCGGGATTGAAGAACACTAGGAAAAGCCTAAGTGACGATCCTTTGCATTAGGGACTAAGAAATGAACCCAGAACCTTCTGAATACAAATCAAAGAGTTAATCACTACAGTGAAAGGTAAATGTTTCACAAGAAAAAGACAGAAGTTCAACATAAAGCATTTACTCCTTGGTCTAGTTCTAGATCATCTCTGAACAGTAATATGAAACCTTAAGTTTGATCTGAACTTCACTTATGGTAGGGTCTATACAGGTTCAGTATGAACCAAAATCAAATTCAGCTTAAAAGTTTCAGAACACTAACTTCCTCGAAATAACTTTAGCAGTTTCAGAGACAAAATCTACAAGCAGGAAAATATGTCCTGCCCACTATGCCTAACTTTATGCATTGTGTGTGAAAGAACTGAAACAAACGGAAAACCATTTGTCAACTCCTGTCGGGAGGGAAGAGCCATATTCACCAACTTGTCAATTACAGAGTTATGGAAACAATGACAATTCTCTACTCTAGTTTCTTCAGTTTTTCCCCTTCTTCCATTGTACTCAGCTTGATTACTGCAAAATTGTATTTGTGCTTAATGTCAGGGCCAATATAACAGCACTAAAATTAGAAAAGCAATAAATATAAACTTATCTTTAAGGTTTACCAGATGGACCATAAACAGCCCTGTCAGACACAGACAAACATCTGGAAATCATATTAGAGTCCAATGTTGGAATGAGAAGGATTCTTCTGAAATTCAAACAAAACAAATTGAAGGTTGTGGAGTGCTCCATGTCTACACATAAATATGGGAATACTTTTCTTAATTCTGACTTATACTGACTGCAGGAACTTACTAATTTTGCAAATGTTTCCAGATAGTGAACAAGATTATATCAATTCGGATGGATCCATATGATGAGCTCATTGGTGCAGATTTAACAGAGCATCACATCCGACACAGCCAGGTTGGAGTAAGTCGTGCTGTATCAGCCCTACGGCCCATCTATCACGCCATCGCTGATATAAAAGACATTCAAAATGTGGGCAGTAACCCAGGTATGCCCTAAACACTGGATACTAATGCTAGGAGGATTAAAAATAAAAACAGTAAATAGTTGTAATTTCTACATGACACTGCTGCTTCCAAGAGTCTAATAACCTTGAGTGTCGATGTCCATTCTAGACATAAGTATATTAAAAACTGTGTAAAGTGGAATTTACCTTTATTGGAAAATCTGTCTTGAGGATAAAGAGCGAATACCAATGCAAAATTATCTATAATAAGGGTAATTTTTCTATAAAAGGTGGGGGGCCTGTAAATATGTACTACTCATTAGGTGCATAGTACACATATTGCACACTAGCAACAATATTGAAACTACACAAGAAGTAATGTCTGCAAATAAGCACCTAGTTGTATAACAACATCTGTGCCATCTAGGAGCTTGCATGTCATACTGCAGGATGAAAGTGAGCCTTGCAACAAATGCCTCACCAGCATTTCCTTGAAAATCTTATTTTCTGAGTAGTTCCAGTTGTGCCTGTGTGTCCAATATGCATCACTCACTTACGTCCTTTGTTCAACAATCTTTTACCAGGAAGTTTGTTAAACAGAAGTCCAGAGGGATCCTGTCAGAAGCAGGTTTTATAGCAATTAACTGTTCACTGAGGTTTAATGTCTGGAAACAATATAACGTGTATGTTCTACAGGTCATGAGAAATATCTTCAGCAGAACTACTGTATCAACCACAGAGATAGAGAAAATGTGTCACTAGCAAAGACAGCCAACATAAGAAAATCTACAAAAGAACAACAAAAGAATCAGGAGATCAAGAAGAAGAAGAAAACTAATAAAGGGAGCAATAAAAACAATAAAGACGACTCACTGGCAACAATGGAAGTACTGACTAAGACTGAGGACTTTCCAAAGTTTGCATGGTTAGACTGATGAGACAAAGGCTGCATCCACATTTTAATCAGGTACATCTTTTCCACCTGACACAATATAACATTCTGAATTCAAATTCGTTTCTATACATTAGCAATAAATTAAGTATGGTAATAACAGTGATGTCTTGTTGAGGCCTGTCACACATCACCTCACCTGACTGTGCTACTACTATTACATTGCTGCTGGTCTGATTCTTCCAAGTCTTTATATGTGTTACACATTGTGGTTGTTCTAAAAAGCCTATTGTGTTCTTAACAGGAAGCACATAGAATCAAATGCACATCGGATGCTGTACAATGGAGCAAGATATGACAAAGGAAGCAAATTCATGTCAAACGAAGCACAAATCAGAAACCATGATTAACCATACTAGAGTCAGTGGAAATGACTTGAAGATCCAGTTGTACAACAATCTATTGTAATTTTCCTCTGTAATTAGGTACAAAAACAATGCATAAAGTATAAATACGTCATCAGTTATGATTACAAGCAGACTTTTCTCAGCCAGTACACTCACTGACAATCACCGTGTATTGGCAAACTTGTCACTGGAGAAGTGTCACATCTACTGATGCTCTGCATGTCGATCTTGAGGCTACAACCAATGCAGAGGACCAGAAAATGTATCTTTAGGAGAAAAGTGCCGTTTTTACCTATCATGATATAAATCCAACAAAAATTTTCTAAATTTACATATCCACAACACACAGCACCACAACTACTGTCTTTCAATGGTAAATACCATACCAGATATTTCATACTTCTGAGTTTTACTTCATATAGCTAAATATTTTGGCAACAATGTATTATTTTCAGACAAAACTATTGTTTTCCACAAGACAAAAATACATAAAATACAGCCTTGCCTAGAATTTCTGTCTAAACCAACTAAAATCTTTACAAGTTGTGTGGAACCACTAAGTTTCACATGTCCCCATGATTGATATGTACCCTGATTTTGTGGGGGAAAAAGTGGCTAAGGAGTCAGTAAAAGTTCACATTAAACATTCAGTAAACAATCAGCTTCATTTAGTATAAGAGCATCAAGAACAGATAATCAGAACACACATAAAATATACTGTTCTAACACTGCTCATAATAGCATTCACTGGTTAAAAAAGTACATAAAATGGTATAAAAATATCTTATATCAGTAGCTAAAGATGCCATCACTTAATGGTAGTCTTATGAAAGAATCCACAGCAAAAGAAAACCCACAATTCGGAATTATATGCACATGTAAAATGAGAAAACAGTTCTATAAATTAAATATACCAAACTGTACTCATGTTTAACATTCATCATTGCTAAATGTCTCTTCTGCAGTACTTGCAACATCATCAAAGTCCAAAGCAAGACCTTCAAACCAGGCAGCTGAATTTTAAATGCAACATACTGTCACATGAGACAGTGACTATTTGCAGGGTTTTGGATTGGGGACTGGATTTAGTGACCACTTACAGGTCGTAACTGCAAGTAACTATATCACCATCGCTAATTTTCACACTTTACAAATCACTACAGCACATGCTAAGTGTTTTCAGTCTGCTGTCACTAGTCATTTCCCAGTAATGGATCTTAACAATGGAGATTCCTGAGCTGCTGTTCTCAACTGCATACACTAAGTCTTCTCTTCACAAAACTCCCTAACAACTTCTAAACTTGTCCCAATGATAACCCCTTGGCACAGATCGTATAGAAAACACTCTTTATAGTTGAATTCCAATCGTTTCCATGGGAATATGTTTGTTTGCGAAGGCAAAGTATAATTGCTTATGAAGAATCCGTTGCCTAGCAGATGTTGTTTCACTGTTTCTTTCAAGGTCATTATACAGTAATGGGCCTACATGCTACAGTATGTTGAAATTCATTAAACTTTCTGGACATCAGCTTTCATTAGCAGAGAATCCACTCACAGATTTGCATTAATTGAGACTCCTTTATTCTGCCTACTGTTGAGTGGGTTGAACTGGAAATCTAGGCATACACACAAGCATAACAGAAACAAAATCTGCTTCTAACTATATATTTTAAATTCTAATTAATTTTTTGAGCTCATAATTACAGAGTTTCCCAGATGATAAATTTTTCAATAGACCAGCCCCAAAAACTTATGGTAGAAAAGTAAAAGTTTGGTTACTTTCTTTAACTGCCTTTATATTTACTCAATCTTATTCTTGAAGAAGATAGGACCTGCATTATTATGTGCACAAAGTACTACTGCAATGGATCCAGCACTGATATTCAAATGACACATTATATTCGTACATGGGGAGTAAAGCGCAGCTGGCGCGTAAGGCTGACAACCTTACCGCCATCTTTGAGCTGACTGTCTAGATAATGTGGGACCCTCAATGTCTCACAACCCTAAGGGCCTTCATGGCCTGTTACAGGGATAGCTTTACTTTTATCAGTTACTTTAAAAGTGGGTTGGATTGGTGAATTGATTTATTGGGTAATCACCATTCGTAACTACAATTAATTATAACACTTTCAAGATTACTGTAATTATAACACATAAATAAAGTCTTCTATAACTGTTTTAACTAGTCATTGCTAGGTAACAGCTCTAAACAACGGTTATTCCTCTGCAAAGTTTTCCCTACCCATTTCCTGGCAATGGATTTTAACACAGGAACTATAACTGTCACACTCCCAATATCACTGCACTACAGCACACACGAAGTCTTCAAATCACACATTAAGTCCTCACTGGCCAACTTCTAATTCTTCTTTATTTCAATATTCCCATGGCTATATCCTACCAGTAACTGACTCACAACTGCCCTGGACTATCTATCTTCTGAATTCACTTTTCTTATAGGCAACCTGCATAGACCCCCTGGAAAACACTGTTGGATTGCTAATGATGTCACCACGTTGCATAGCATTGAACGATATGTGGAAATATGTTTACCGAACCGTTGCCTAGAAATGGATTGCATAACCATGCTGTTCTCCTGTTGATTGTCACAGTCGTAGAAAGCAGTTTCCCTTATATTGTTGCATGTTGGGAATTGTTTACTGAGCAGCTGTCTGGCAATGCTTAGATAAAATCTGTTACAATATGTTCAGAAATGAATAATCCCTTGCAGACTATGAACCCTGTGCTTTTTTTTTAATGCTAATTCAGGAAAATGGTGAATGTGGTACAAAAAGAAATATAGTAATTATTTTATAACTTGCATATACTGTGTTATTTATGGCTCCTAACTAACTAACTAACTAACTAACTAACTAGGCACAACAGATCACTGTGGTCACGGTGCCAAGAAGGCCCACCCCTTTTACTTTCATTCATTCACTCAACTAACTAACTTTATGGAGCTAAGCCCTTCTTGAGAAGCCACCAGTTGTACAGCTATTCAAGAACTTACAAATATTTTATGGAACCTAAAGGTTCATTACCACATTCACAAGAGCCCTCCACTGGTCCCTATCCTGAGCCAGATCTATCCAGTCCATACCATCCCATTCTATCACTCTAAGATTAAAATTATCCACTCACCTATGCCTTGGTCTCCCTACTCGCTTTCCCACCAATATGCTATATGCATTCTTCTTTGCCCCCATTTGTGCTACATGCCCTGCCCATCTTATCCTCCTTGACTCGATCATTCTAATTATACTTGGAGAAGAGTACAAGTTATGAAGCTCCTCATTATGCAGTTTTCTCCAACCTCCTATGACTTCATCTCTCTTTGGTCCAAATATTCTCCTCAACACCCTGTTCTCAAATACCCTCAGTCTAAGTTCCTACCTTAATATCAGAGACCAAGTTTCACACCCATACAGAACCACAGGAAAAATTACAGTTTTGTATATTCCAACTTTTATGTTTTCAGACAGCAGACAAGAAGACAAAAGGTTCTGGACTGAATGGCAGCAGGCATTACCCAAATTCAATCCTGTCTTAATTTCCTCCACAATCAAATTTTGATTTGTTACTGTCATTCTTGAACTGTGGCATATATTCAAAGGATCTCTTTGCTATCTTACTGCCATACTTTTGCCCTGCATTCTGGCGACAAGGCAGCAAATTATACTTAGTTTCTTGCATTTACTTCTAGACCAACCTCCTTACTCCCTTCGATTAAATTTCTGCGTTTTTCTTTATGGTATGTGTTATCCTCCAGTAGATTTACATCATCAGCATAGACCAGCAGCTGATGTGTCCCATTTAATTTCAGTCCCACCTGATTTCCCTGGGCCTTCCTATTCTATATTCTGTTCTGGCATATTCTAAAGCAAAGCTGAAAAGCAGCGGTGATAAAGCATCTCCTAGTTTCAGGCAGCTTTGGATAGGAAACTACTGTTCTAAATGTGTGACTATTTTGCTCATTTTCTCGAACAACCAATGCATTTTTCTATTAACCTGTCAAGTGATTCTTTTCCATGTTCTTATCTCCCTCAGAGTGTCACATTAAATTCCCCCAGACATTTCAATTTGTCACTGTGGCATTTAATTTTATAATTTTTGCTCCAAATTTAAAATGTAATATCTCAATCATGTGTCATTATAAAATAATGGAACAAAAAGCTCCTGAAAGACCAATTATCAGACTTCACGTACCTGCATTTTCATTCCTATAGCCATTACACTGAAGTATATATATTTTTTAGAAAAATTCCGTACTTTTGGCTTCATTCTCAAAAAATCTGCCACTGTCGCCACTGACTTTCATTTGTGTTCAGACCATGTAATCTTGTACGCATGTCTGAGTCATGCACATTCAATATATGCTGTCTTGACTTGCATTTGGTGTTTGGAAATGAAACACAATCAGAGTAGTTTACTAACAAATCTCTCTAGCGGAAACACATACCCCCAGCTTTGCTCATTGCAACACTGTATACGCCTCATTGACAGAGTCCCTTATTGCAACGTGGGCAAGCTCAAGGCGAGATTGGATGAACTGTTCTTCCAAACATCCACNAAGTTTGCACTGCCAGCTAGCATTATATCTATAACAGAGTAGTAGGGAGCATGTGTGGCGTCTATAGACGTCATAGCCACTTGACTGGTTAAGAAAACATGTCCACGGCTTATTCATGACAAGACTAGCAACACTGTGCATTCCAGGCATCCACTTCACAACTTCTGCATCCTTTCATGAACCCAAGCACCAAGAATGTGCCATTCATGTTCAGTGAATGCTGCTGTGACCTACTATGCACATGCATTGATACATGTGACTATTAAGGCTTGGCAGTACAGCTTTTCCAACAAAAACTGTACTTAATTCAAGAAACAGAAGATACTGGATATTGTGCTGATGACAGAAAACACAGCATTTGTGAAAATTACACTAAAAAATAGAGAAGAACAAAGAGCTGATGCTGCAAAGCAGTGGCAGAGGGATTTCCATGGCCAGCATAAAAATTTTCGCTTAGTGGGAGGTGGAGTCCAGCTCGGTCAACCTGACATGGTGACCACTGATTGGCCTATTGTAGCCTGCCCCAGGTGATTATGATGGAGAATTTGGTGGAATGAAGATTGGCAGGGGAAACCGAAGTACTCGGAGAAAACCTGCCCCAGCACCACACTGTCCACCACAAATCCCACTTGACCAGACCCTGGTTCGAACCCAGGCCATCGCGGTGCGAAGCCAGTGACTAACCGCTTTAGCTATCCATGGTCAGTAAGTGAAATATCCTGAAGCGGAAGAACAGTTTTGCACACTCACAAGGGAGAGGTACTAGTTTGGGTGTGCATACAAAGATGTACTGGAACATTTCTCAATTGTCAAGACATTATGTATTACATACAATTATGCCCCACATATATATTTTAGTACTTCAATAAATTCACAAAAGATTTAATTTGTTTCTTTAAGAGTGGGGTGTGTAGTCTCTTCAATGGCATGGGATATTCAAGAAAATATGGTATTTGCTAGAAGTTCACTTTTACAATTTTCTTGCATTTTTTTGCATATGCATATGAAATGTAATAGTGTATGTTAATAACTAAGGTTGTGGAGGGCCATTGGGTCGTGAGACATCAAGGCAATCAGCTCACAGATGGTAGTGAGTCTGTCAGCCTTATG